CTCCCCCACCGCGATTCTTAACTGATGTTAGCAGCTGGGATGGCTGATTTTTTTATGGGGGGGGGGTGGTTGGGGGGGGGGGGGGTGATGTAGAGGAGTATTGTGAGTAACCAATGAAAAGGGCGAGCAGAGGGAGGTGCGAGCGGGTTGCCAATCAAGAATGATGTAACGTCACGGAACGAGCTTTGGAGAGCACCTTCGTGGACATGGACGGAGCCAAGCTGGGGAGGAGGAGCCGCCCAAAGGATTCTTGAGGGGGGCCCCATGATGGAGGCGAGGTCGTAGGAGGGAGCCAGGGTAAGGATCGGCTGCAGAGGGTCTCTCCCTCCTCATCGCGGAGCGGTGTTGGCTGTACCCCTGCTTCGGCCAGACGAGTGGGAGAGCCAAGGGGATGGCCGAGGGTAGGGTCCCGTAGTATTCAGTAAGGGTCAGCTGGAATAGGGCTCTCTTTCTCCTCATCGCGGAGTGGTGTTGGCTGAACCCCCGCTCTGGGCAGACGAGGGAGAGTGCCCAAATGGTAGCCAAGGGTAGGACCCAAATAGTATTCGGTGTCTGGGGTAAAGGACCAAGATAGAGTGGACCTACACTGGTGTGAACGTAGGATGTTGAGTGTAACAATTTTTTTTATTAAATGGCAACAGCCCTTATAGAATTCCTCGTCTCCGCGTGGTTTCACTGCACTACACTAAGATGAGGAATTTAAATAGACAGCGGTGATAGACAGGAAGCCAGTGAAGTTGTTGAAGTAGAGGAAAGCAGTGAGATGTGGAGGGAAGGTTGAGTACAGTGTGTGCAGCTGCATTTTGGATGTGTTGGAGAAAGATAAAGGCATAAGCAGGAAGACCAACCAGGAGTGAGTTGCAGTAATCAAGACAATTGAAAAGAAGGGGGTCTACGAGCAGTTTGGCAGCGGTGGTAGTGATGAGGGAGTGGATTTCCCTGATGTTGTACAGATGACAATGGCATGTGCAAGTGGTATTGGCAATATGGGAAGTGAAGGAAAGAGTGGAATCGAAGGTAACACCAAGAGTAAGGGTGGAAGACTTGGGAGGTTTGTAAGGGTTGGGGAAGATGCTGGATAGAGGGAAGAGTTAAAGAGATAAATAGAAAAATAGTGGGGAGAATGGATGGAAGAAAGAAATCAGAAAGGGATCGAGGGAGGAAAAGGTCAGGTGGGTTTTGGAGATTACCGGAGATGATTCCAGAAGGGAAAGCATTTAAGGAAATAGTGGTAGGGTGGAGAGGGGAGGGGTTAGTAGGTGCAGGGATGTCGGGTGGTTGCGCAGTGAGCATGGAGGAGAAGATGTGGTCGATCTTGGTCGTGAAGTCGTTGGAGAGGAACACAGGAGTGGGGGCAGAAGAGGAAGTAACATGTGCAGTAGAAGACAGATGGTGCGGAGAGTTTAAGGTATTGAAGAGTAGAGCAGGGTGTTGAGATAGGGAGGAAATCAGAGAAAGTATGATTGGTGAGCAGCCTCCAGGGCCGAAGTGTTATTTGATAGTAGGGAAGTATATGAGGAACGTGAATCATGAGTTGGTGAGGTCCTCCAGATGCACTCCGCTTTGCGAATGAGCCGGCCCTGTGACTTGAGCGTTGGTGAGGGGATGAGCAGTCCAATGCTGTCACCAGACTTGCAAGAGGGACGTGGTGAATGGAGGAATTGGGTCTGGGGGAGTGGATAATGCGGCGGGGGTAGTGGTGTTCAGTGAGGAGATCCAGGTTTCCCTAAATGCTAGGCTGCGGAGGATTTTTGAAAAGAAAGCATCGAGAGTGGATGGAGGCTTATTGCAAACGGAGCACAAGTTCCATAGGCCAAGGTAGATGGGGGTGATTGGTGAAGGTGGCGGAGGTCTAGAGATGGGGGCGGAGTGCATTTTTTGAGCGTAGGGAGATGGGAAGAATGTGTGAGTGATTTGTGTGATGATTGTGATGACGGCGTGAAGATGGAAAGATACAGCGGGGAAAGACATAGGATGCGGGAAGCTAAGGGGTAAGGAGATTTCGGGAGTGTGGCAATGGGTGAGGGTAGTTTAAGCACAAGGTGGGCCGTTTGGTTTCCAAATTGCGCTTCGTGTGCACGTTAGCGTTGTGCGTGAGCGCGTTTTACACAATGGCATGTGTCCGCACACACGGGCACCACAATCCAGCAATGTGCAAGTAACCCTCCACCATGATGTCATGTTGCAAAATCACAAATATTTTATGACACACTCAGCATGTGTTTTAAAGCCAAATTTGGGGCTGCATATTATTGTTGCGTGTCTGTGTGATACCAGATTTGTAATATATAATTTACACCGGGCACACATTTAGTGTGCGTCTTATATTCGAGAGCGTCGTAATCCTGAGAATACGGTATAGGCTGTGGCACCGCACCTAGTTGTTCTTCCGGTGCTTTATTGAGACTATAGGCTTGTTTTGGGAACCTATATGAATTCGAGCACAACAACCAGTCCAACACGCTGGGTTTAGTCACTATTGTTTAAATCTTCTTTGGTTTTTTCGGTAAAGTCACGTAGAATGAGAATAAAATAATAAATTGATAAAATAAAATAACACAATAATATTCTCACTGGATATTCTCTCTGGTGAGAATATTATTGTGTTATTTTATTTTATCAATTTATTATTTTATTCTCATTCTACGTGACTTTACCGAAAGAACCAAAGAAGATGAATCATTGCAGTCACGAAAGCTTTAAATCGAAATATTGTTTAAATGTTTGTCGTGCCAGGTTCGAAAAGGTTACTTGGCTTTGTTCTGTTGACTTATCAGCAGACGTGCAGCATAGATCAAAGAGACCATTTATGGAATCTCTCAAGCTGATGGACGTGTCACCTGCACGGTATTCAGGTTTCACAGCCATACACTTGTGTGTAAGTTGCCCGTTAGACTTACTTTTGTATGGTCCGTATCAATCACCGTCTCGTCGTGGACAATGCTACAGAGGCTTGAGAGAGGTGACGTTGAATCTCATCTACAGTGACATTTTGATGAAGGTAACTGCCAAGATGAAGGAAAAGCTGACCGTTTCATAGGTAAATTGCTTTTTATTCATCGTGGAGGTGTAGGGGAGGAGCCATGGGCTGGTTTTAAAAGTACCTGGGTCTTAACAACATTCAAATCCAGTCCATACTGGTCATAGGCATTCACAAAGAAATCCAACATTGACATTAGGTTAGGCCTCGCAAGAGCTGGCATAGCAAAATCGTCACCATACTGAGTTTCAGTGATTGGTATTGTTCTGACTTTTGATTTGGCCTGTAGACAGCAAGGGTTGAAGGGCTTACCATCAGTATGGTACTCTCTATGCACACCATGTGCACATCAGGCCTGGGAATGGAAAGCAGCAAGATGAAGAAACGTGTCAGTGGATGGAATCATTTATCTCACTCTTAGTTCTGACGGCAAAAGATTTAAATTGTTGTCCACATTCACCATCTATCTGCTGAACAGAAAATCACATAGAGGTCTAAGACAAGAATCAGAAAGAAACAACAGCAAGAATATGAGGAGGCCCGGCAAGAGTCATGAGTAGTGAGCGGATCAGGACAGTGTTATGGGAAAAGAACAAAAAAAAGAAGAGACTAAAAGAACAAAAAAAAGAAGAGACTAAATTAAACCATGGGGAGGTTGACAGAGTTAGTGAAAAGTTATATTCGACAGCAGCAACATTAAGCACACAAAAGCCTTCACTAAAGCACTTACACAATTTTGATTTGAAGCTTTCGTGACTCCAGAAATGCATACTCTTTGGTTCTTTTGGTAAAGTCACGTAGATAGAAATAAAATAAAATAATTATTTTACTTTACCGAAAGAACCAAAGAGTAAACTTACACAATTGTGAAAGTCCATAATCGTATTGTCACGCAGTTTCATATTTTCAATAATAGAGGTTATTTTGGGTTATTGGTTGCGAAAGCCTACGTGTTAAGTTGCATATTTGGTGAATTTGCAAACTCCAAAGGGTAACCAAAGAATAGATGATCTGATAACATTTGTTTCTGAAATACACAATCATATGGTCAACATGTTTACCATTGTCAGAGGAATGTGCTGTTTGTTACAGGCAAGACCAGTACAAAGTGGAAAAAAGCATACCGAAGTCATTCAAAAAATGAAGGTGCTGTGAATGAGAAGTAACACACGTAGGCTTTCGTGACAAAGCTGGCTGTCTCCTGATGAAGCTAGCTGAAATTACTGGCGAAACGTCGTACTCAGATTGGAAATGTTGTGGCTTGGCTCTCCATCACACCGGCGTGCTGTACTAGTAACGAATTGGCACGTTCTGTTTACGTGACAAAACTTACTAATTTGTTGTGTCGGGTGGTGGCGGGTTTAACGACACAATCATATATTCACACGATCTAACCCAAAAAAACTGTATAATGGAAAGCAACACGTTTATTGTTTGAAATATATAGCGGGTTTTGAGTGTAGAACCCCAATAGGTTGCAAACATTTGCAGAATAAATCGTTGGCCACATTCGTTATTATTAGCCATTGTCTACCAAATGCTGATTGGAGCCCTCCTCACACTGTCACCATTCCACAGTCAAGTGCCACCTTCCATCTCACTCCTGCACATCACTCCGTCTCCACTCTGAATGTTCTCTAGAATGTATTCAACAGTCCAATCAGTGAACACTCAATGTTCACATTCACCAGGCATGGACAAAATTCCTGACCCTAAGTGAAAGTCGAAAATCGTGTTGTTACACAGTTGCATATTTGGTGAATTTGCAAACTCCAAAGGGTAACCAGAAAATGGATGATCTAATAACATTTGTTTCTGAAATACACAATCATATGGTGAATATGTTGACCATTTTCATAGGAATGTGCTGGTTGTTACAGACAAGACCAGTAAATAATGGAATAAAGCACACCAAAGTCATTTTTAAAAAGATAATTGCTGTGAATGGAAAGAAACACGTTTATTGTTTGAAATAAAGATGCCTTTTAGTTGTGGGAAAATAACAAAAGAAAACGTGGGAAAAAATAGACTAAATTAAACCATGGGGAGGTGGACAAAAGAGTTAGTGCAAAGTTGTGTTTGACACCACCAACATTCAGCAATCGATGCAGCCACATCGTCAAGTAAATACTATGGAAATTATAAAGCACTTACTTGTAGTTTTCCCCTCTTCCAATATTGTGCGATATGTTCTTCCATAATACGCTTGGTATATGTTTCTCAGAGGTTACAATCCTACCAATACTTGAGTATATAAATGAATAATAACTGAGTACTGTATATCAAATATTTGCGTTGTCATGTTAACTATGGCACATGTTCAAACTACTGACCCATGAAAGATTTACGAATGAAGCTTTTATAAAGAAAGCACCTGAAAAACAGTCATAACATATCATGGTAGAGTCACTCACACGTAAGACTGTAAAAACTCCTCCCACACATTGGGCAAGGCTTGGGGAAATGTCAGTCACTGATAAAAAATGGCTCTGAGCCCGCCCACATGACATGGATGTACCCTTATAACTACGAGTGAATTTGACCGTTTGGATCAGGCTCGACAAGACTCCCCTCAAAACATCTACTCGACAGAGCTCCTTCATCTGGTATCAGCAGTGTAACAGATGCCTCGCAACTAAATTGTTCAAATTCTTCTAAATTGTTTAGTCAATTATACCAATAGAGTCTGTAAAAAGCAAAATAGATAATATCCATATGTAGAAGCTGTTTTGAAAAAAACTAGCTAAAGATATTTAGGATTGTGTTTATATGCTACATTTATTAAGAGAGTGCGCAACATTATTCTTAATTGCCTGCTTTTGAATATTTTATCGCGTGCCACAGTGGTGAGACGTTAACTACCTCGCCTGTTATACATGAGGTCGTGGGCTCGATCCCGACCGTAATGTATGTATATTTGGAGTTTGCATGTTTTCCCCATGGTCGTGTGGAATTTTCTCCAGGTCTTTAAGTTTTTCCCTCCACGTTGAGAAGCACGCGTTTAGAGTATTTGGCTGCTATACCTTTCAACGTCATGATAAGCCACTTTGTTGAGCTATTATTTATGGCAAGGTTGTTTCTGAAAAGAGCTATATAGCTCAGTGGGCTTTACCTGGTTAAAAAGAAAAATAGTTATGTTTAGTTTTAGTTAATATGTGCATCGAGAAGTTTGTACCAGTAACCACGGATGGAAAGATAAGAGTCTTCGGGTTTGCCATTACTTAAGTGTCAAAGTGTAAAACGGCAGTTTTAAAATGTGATAATACACATATTTTTAGCTAAAAAAATCTGATAAAAATACAGATTCTAAATATATTTTAAGGGACATAAAGTAAATTCGAACGTCAATCATTTAAACACAGTAACGACCAATTACATGGAGACCAAAGAAAAAGATTCTGGTATCAAGAGCAGTTTTTATTTAAGTTATGACATTTGAAAGATGACCAAATCAAGTGGAATGTGCCTGATATCCTCAGATCTGAGAAATAAAGTAGGTTTGAGCCTGGGTATTATTTGGATGGGTGACAACATGCGTACAACAAATATTAGACACTCATGTGGGGCCACATTGTGGGCAAGCAGAGGGCAGTGCAGCAAAATAAATTGTCGTACTTTATTGTGCTCCCACGTCTATGATCCCTGGCTTCACCAACCAACACTGACCAGTGTGGTGAAGGTTGGTCAAGCCACATCCATGGCCTGCACGGCGTGGGGAGGACCTTATCCAGCAGTAGATTAACAAAGGGCTGCATATGTCATTGTACGGTAATTTATTTAGTTTTAAATGCATATTTGTCAAAACAGTGCACATGGTAACTTTTGTAAACTTTAGTGAGAAACTTTAGGTGGGACACAGTATGACAGAATTTGGCTTTATCTACGTGTTGGTTGCATATTTTGATATTTTACAGCCGTGCTAATTTGTCAGCATCACCTGTATCACGGTTAACAGGTGTAGGAGTTCTACCACAGGTGAATGTTGGAATGTTTTAACATTTTTGTGCTTTACTTTTTTTCAGGTAAGATAGCTTCACCAACATCAAGTCATGAATATTGCAATGAGCACGCTGTGCCTGATGCTGTTCATCGTTCACGCACAAGGTGAGTTTCTCAGCTGGACATGAATTCTGACAAAATGGGTTTTGTACTTGTTGCTTATGTATGTTGAACTTGTTTGTTGAACTTCTTCCGCACCGTGCGTAGCCAACCTTGCTAATTGGAGGTGAGGGGGAAGGAAATATATATATACGCTGTAGAATATATATAGCACACTACCAAAATAAATAACTTGGTTATTGCAGGAACATTTCAAGTCGAGCTTCTGAGTCGCAACTGGAAATAGTTGTTTGCCTTTTCATAAATATGTGCGCGTTATAAATAGTTGTATTATTTACATAGTATTGTTTTCATACATTTATTCTTGAGTCACGATTTCAGTTGTAAACGTCACTTTGCGTGATCATTAGCCATAATCTATCCACTGCTGGATGAAAACATATCCAAGCTGTTGCCATCTCTTATGGCCTCATGATGTAACAATCCACGTAGATCCTGTACACGAGTTTATTGTATCCATCTCTGTCTGCATTGGCAAACCCCTTGGATGTTCTCCCTCATTAGGCTGCCATTCCATCTTTAGTCCCATTCCTTAGAGTAATGTCTCCTGTCCTAGCCCATTTACTTCCTAAAAAGTTAATGTTCTCTTATCTATGTGTTGTTGTTCCTTTTGCTTTCTCTAAGTGTAAAACTGCAAGCATGCGTCTCCCCATGCTTCTTTGTACTTTTCAGCACTTGTTCCATTTTGTTTGTCAATGTCCATGTGACACAATCATTTGTCATAGCAGATAATGTACACTGATTAAAAACTTGCTTCTTTAGCACAATGATTTGGTTTCCAAAAGCACTTCAACCTGTTTTCGTCCATTATAGATGAGGCTGCTTACAAAAAATTCACCGATTATTAATTCACTGTTCAAAGAAGGCTTCTCCCAATCAATATTAGTCAGAGGGGTTGTTTGACCATAATTCACCATGCTGATCAGCACAGGGGTTGGGGGTGTAGAACTGGTTTATCTCTAGCTCCACCCTGCGTGTAATAATACATCAGTAAAATGTGTGTCTGTGTTTTTATATTTTACAGCACAGGATTCAGACAAGCCTCCGCAAAAAGAAAGAATTGAACCGAGTAATACTCACACAGCTTGTGTTTTGCTTAGATTTGAAGTTTTCGTGACTGCAGGGATCCATACCTACGTGACTTTACCGAAATAACCAAAGAGTATAGTTTGTGTTTGGTTATTCTTGCCACATTGTAAAGGCAGTAGGAGTAGTTTAACTCAACGTAAAGCGTAGGGTTGCCGTGATACGACTATAACGATATACGATCCACAATAATTGCACTTTCTATTTTGTAAAGTACAGCAATGACCATAAACATTTGTTAAAACGTTTGCGATGCACACACTTTCAAAAGTAGAAAATTGCTTCTTTTGACCCCAGAATTAATCATTTGATGTGCTGAATAAAAGTTGGTGGTTTCCTTTCGATGTCTTTTATTTGCTTTATGCAAGCCACCAACTTTTATTCAGCATATCAAATTGTATTAATTCTGTGGTCCAAAAAAAATTCTACTTTTGAGTGCAAATAAAAGTGTATGCATTGAAAAACGTGTTTTTCACCATTTTGTTTTATTTTAGTCCCATTGTCATTAACTTAATTCAGACTTGAACGTAATTCCTGGTCATTTGCATACAGTAAGCTTATGTTAAAGTCAAACCAAGAAATGGAAGTAGCATGTGTCTCTCTGTGTATGCATTACCAAATATTATATCAGATTTACAGGGGGAGAACATGCAAACGCCAAATATGCAGGCGTCAGGGTTAGGACCTCCTGTATACCAGGCAAGGTAGTTGACATCTCGCCACTGCGAGGTGTCATCTATTAAGAACAGCAGGACGATAACCCTCAATGCCTATGAACAAATCACCCGGACTTGGAATGTGGCTGATCTGTTTGGACCTCGAAATCCAAGCAGATCTGAGCATAGACAGTGGCTGGAGGGGTGCTCACCATGCACAAACAGGTTGTTATAGGGCTGCGGGGCCAGGTTGTGTTTATATGCAGTTGTACTCTATACGTCTATGCTGCCCGCACTGACCAGCCGGGGGTGCAGTATGATCAAACGGCCTCCACAACAAGCTGGCCAGACATCTTGGAAGAGGTGTAATTACCCACACTTCACTCCACCACTTTGTGACCTGGATATTGAATAACTGTGGCGTACCCATTTATACTGCTGGGTAGACAGAGGCAGTCGAAGGTTTTCCTTAGTTTTATTTATTTAGCTAATGCTGTTTCACGCGACTTCCCACAGTCAAAACACCGGATACATTTACACAATATATAGGTAAATAAATGTTCATTGAGTGGACGTCAGCCCAGAGAGCCACTTTGCAGCCTCTTCCTCCAGCACGTGCAGGGCAACCAATCCGCCCGGGACTCCCTGACGACGCCATGGACTTCTGGCTCCCCGCATTCACACAGTGGGCTGTCACGTAGGCCCCATCGATGTTCGGAAGCAGCACACGCTCCATTATTACACCAGCAGCGGTTTAACTGTAACATACATAGAAAGCTATACCTTGCTTGTTACAGTTCGTAAAGTGATCTACATTTTGTTTTTCAGCTACTTTTATATCAATCATCAATGCATGTGTGGGAGTTATTCCGATTATAAAGGGTAAGTGAAATCTTAATTTTATCAATCGTATTCCTAATTTAAGGTGCACACAAATATGTTGGCGTATATATAAAATTAATATAAATCCTACATCGCTGCTTGAATGTAATGACACACTGTTAGTGACAAATGTGTTTTTGTGAGTTAATTATTTGACCTGACTTTTAGGAAATAAGTATTAACACGAGAAAATAAATTACTTTTTACTAGAAAATCATTACAATATGCAATATCATAATAAAGTTGTTGTAATTTAGGAATGTGTTTTAAAAGCAAAATACAGTTCAGTATTGCGATCTGTTATATTAACATCATGACAAATAAATATTGAGCATTCTACATAAATTACTAATCATGCAGTAACAGATATATCTAATACTTTGTTTTTTTCCCTCGCAGGCTTCACGAAAAGTAAGTACTTTGTTTGCACCTCACCTAGCTTACTATGCAGTGGCCATGTACCTTCCCTGAGTCAGTTTTTCCCACACCTCTGATTAGCACGGTTGGCTATGTACAGTGCGAAAGAAGTTCAACATATATACATACTGTATAGTAAAAAGACCACAGCAAGTAGGGAAAGATAGTGATAGGGCTGCCACCTGTTCTAGAGTATGTGGCTGATGTAACTATCCACGTGACACGCCACTTTGTTGAGCTATTATTCGTGGCAAGGTCGCTTCTGAGAAAGAGCTATATAGCTCAGTGGGTCTTACCTGTTTAAGTAAACAATTATTTAGGTTTTTGTTTTAGTTTTCCAAAGATTGTCCTCTTTTTGAGGTAACTGTCCTGGGAAATCTGTAATGATTTTCCAGTCATCGTTGAGATTCAGTAAACACAAAAACAAAGTGAAATAAAGAGACACAAACTGAGTAAAGAAGACCCCCAAGAAGGGAATACAAGAAAACATGAAACACGGAAATTAAGTAAACAGTTCCGGGTAGGAGAAGGCGTTAAAATTCCAGATTATGATAAAACTTTTAAATTTCGATTTAAAGCTTTCGTGACTGCAAGGATTCATCTTCTTTGGTTCTTTCGGTAAAGTCACGTAGAATGAGAATAAAATAATAAATTGATAAAATAAGGTGAGGAAGGCCGCTTGTGTTGTGGCCGAAACGTCGTGAGAATATTATTGTGTTATTTTATTTTATCAATTTATTATTTTATTCTCATTCTATATGCTAAAACTGACAAAGCAAGATAAACTTGGTGAGAAATGGGATTTGAACAACTAGAAGAATGAAACAGACAGTGAAGGTCAGAATCACTGTAGAAAGATGTGAACCAAATCACAAACGAGTGATGAACCACGTCAGTGGTAGAATACAGAGAAAACAGGAAAATCGCAGAAGTGTAAAGTGTACTTTGAGGCTCTATATTGTCAAGAGGGAAGCCAGTCAGACTTGACATAGAAGAAGAGGAAAAGGTGGGACTCAGAAGCTAAGGTTCCTATTAGTCCCAAAAGTTAAAGTCGTCACAGTAATTAAAGGCACGAAGCCAGCGACGGCAGCAGGGTTTGACGGAATGCATTCAGAAATTGAAAAACATTTAGGTGCGGAAACAATGTGTGATTTTACTAGATTTTGTAAACTATCCGTATGAGAGAAGAAAATTACCAACATATTTTAATGAGTTGAATTCATACTAATTCCAAAGAAACCAAATGCAACGAACGTCTCAAAGTTCAAAGCAATTAGTGTGATACCAGACGTCAATGGTTATGCTAAACATTTATTTAATAAAGGATCAAAATCAAGGCAGAGGCATACATTGCAAAGGGCCAATTTGTATAGGGAACAAGAGAAGCAATTGGAGTGATGAGAATGATCTATATAAGGTGCTTGGAGTTTATCCAAGAAGTTTATGTTTGTTTACTTCAAGCAGAATATATTTTTCAATGTAATCAGTAAAATCAGAGTAGACTGGAAAAATAGACTGCTAATTGTGGGCTTGTACATGGGTCAAACAGCAACAGTGCAAGTAGTAGTACGGTACGATGCGTTTTAAATATATGAAGTCGAATTGTGCACGTTTGAAATATTGTTTCGGTATTTATTAGGATTTGCATATATTTTTTTATTGGCAATTAGTTATTTTACTTTTTAAATTGATGAAAATTGATGCGATGCACCTTGTGGTATGGAGGTCACTTAATGTCTCTTTTAAAAATATCTTTCAGCAAAAGAGTTTACCTGCCAAGCGGGAATGAATGATACGTTGAGTACAGTACGTTGTCTCCCTGAACAAAAATTCTGTGTCACTGCAAACGTAACTGTTGGTAAGGTGAACCTCACTATTGTGCTGCCTTCATACAAAGCAATTATTTTTGTCTCCTCTGTATATTGAAAGGTATATCACTTGTTCTGATTTCCTTAATATATTTTATTCTTTCACGTGTCTGTGATTTTAAACAGGGAATTACACATTCATTTACAAGAGCTGTGCTTCGGACCTGGATTGTGTCTTTAAAGAACGCATTCGAAAAATGGTACTCAACGATGTAGTAGATGCGTATGAAGATTCTCGTGGGTGCATCCTAAATAGCTATGACTGCAACAGCGGCCCACATGGTGGTCCACCTCGTTCCCTGGCTCTGCTTATCCCCCCCATTCTATCCCTCCTTGTATTTTCCAGCTAACTTTCTCGCAGGGCTAGGTACGCACAATAACCCTACCGTTGCTGTTAAGTGTGGGACTAATCTATTCAGACAGTTGCTCTTAACTTTTTCACAAAGGGTACTCATTGTTTGTAATTAACAACCATGAATTAATGTGTACGTTAATGTTACGTTAATGCAATCACAACGAGTACTTTACTCAGTGTTTATAATAATCAAATTTGCTTTTAATTGTAACCCCCCCCCCCATAAACTTATGACCATGATAAGCACTGAACAATAGTGCCACACGTTCCTTTCTACCTCTACCAAAGCGTCTCTCTACTGAGGAATGCTTTTGTTTTTACTTAACAGGAAGCTAATAAGAATGGATTGGTGTAGAATGGTGATGCAAAAGTTGGTACACTCCATGATGAATCCAGAGACCTGGGTCTGATTCCCGGCCATGGCTAACACCAGTGGTCAAGTGAACCGGTTCTGGGCCCGCCTTCACCATTCCACACTGCCCACTCGTGGTGACGCATGAAACCGTCCATGACTGCAAGGCATGGGGAGGTCTTTAGTGAGCAGTGGTGTTTATAAAGGAACGTTCAACAATTGAATCATGAAAAAACATGTAAACGATATATACTTTCATCAATTTGTAATGCGCTTGAACAAATGTAGTTTATGCTGGAGTATGTTAAAACTAAATTAGCTTCCACTTCCCGAGTGGAAGGATAAAAAAAGCCCTCTCCAGTTCGCCCGCTCTGCTCTGCCACGCTCGTGGTTGTTGCCACTCCCATTGTGCAGCTTCCTTGAACCAGCGATAAGCCCATTCATGAACTATGAGACAGCGTTATGTGTTTTTTATATATTAAAGTGTGTAACAAGGTGTGTGTTTTTTCTTATATTATCGCAGATTGGGAAAACTACATTATAAAAAAATTAAGCAATTTAATCATTCGAGAAAATAATGGTGATTATGGACGCCTTTTCTTTAATGACATGTGATATTGCTGGAAAATATATAATAAATGTTGCCTATCAATATTGTGCGTAAACAGTGTTCATGTAGCTTGTAGGAAGCCTTCAACCTTTTTTTCAAAGCACCAACATTCTCTCCCGCAAATATCAAAACACGAAATATTGGAACCAGGCGGGGTTCGTTCACTAGAGGTGTTGGGGCGCCGCCCCACCAAGGAGCTGGAGATGAGAAATTATATTTCTAATTTTAAAAAAAGTTTCTATAAATAGTTTTATTGTGTTAAAAAAAAATGATTATTTCAATGTGAATTGCCGAATGAAGAGCAAATGTTAAGTTCACATGAGAAACCGCTGGAACACCACAGTCTGATTTGTGCCCTCGGGGAGGTCTCGGGTCGGCTGTGAAGGCGTCCGAGTGAGAGATTTCCCTTTTTCGTTGCGACGAGCTTCGCATTTTAGCTACGACGTTTGAGACCAATTCAGAGCGGTGAAAAAGGGTGCCCGTGGCTGCACTGAGACGATGTCACGACGCGAGGTTGCACCGTGCAAATGTAGCAGCTCACACGGCCTGCGCGCTCAAGGGGGAAACAGCAGCCATGGGGATGGCTGCAGTTGCAGTAAACTAAGAATTAGCAACGGACATTGGAGTCACTCCTAAATATTCCATTTGGTCATGGGAACAGCATTCGAGTGCTTTGCTGTTCTTTTTCCTATCGTTTATGAATGCCTACCTTTGGTAAATAAGACAGTTATATCACTTTCACGGGAAGGCCAATAAAATGACGATGTCTTGGCCTCCTGTGCGCTGCGTTGCATCACTATCCGTGTAGTTAACCTCGCATTCAATAAACTTTCAGAGTCAGGGTGAACATCTGACTCCAACGGATTTAATGAATAGTACGAGGTAAAACTGATGGAAAAACACAGCACAAAATACAGCATCTGTTAATACTTGCAATATCAATACAATGAATGAACACTGTAGCATCATAACATTGTCTTAGATAACATTAATCTGAATAGGTCCTGGATGGACCAGGCACCTACATTAGTACGGAATAGCTATACAAGAGAATAAGCTACTGTGTTAAATAAGGTCACTTTGTGTAATCACCATACTGCAGCACAAATGTACAGCGCTGCACATAACACTGAACAGTGGATGAGATACTTCATCCTTGCTCTCAAGAATGCATTAAAGTTACATGGGCACAAGTCTGGCTTGACTTATCCAACTACAAATAACATTCATAATAATACAAGTGGCAGGCTTCGTTGTTAACTAGGCCTCATATTTATCATAACAATTTTACAGCATTTGAAAGGCATTTACAGCATTATAACGGCAATCCTAACATAACAGCATTCCCAGTATTATAAGAACATAAACGAACTTACAGACAATGCTTCTTAAAGTCCCACAATGAACAGATACATCCGCCTTCACTGAGACACTAATTGTGCCTCTATTTTGTACTCTTTGTAATGGCTGACACCCCTGTCTTGCCTCGTGACTTAGAGATCCTTAACTCATAACTTTCTGGTCACGTGACCAAACTCAACACCATAATATCTGGAAGTTATTGTGTAAGCACACCCCAATATCTGCCGTGGGGCAGAACAGACGATGTTTTGTTGGTTTAGAACACCATATTTTCAGAGGTCACTTACAACAGCCCCACCTAGTTGAAATGTCACGAGCCACCACTGATTGGCGTAAGGCAGATTTCTTTATTGCAAGGCCCCGCGGGGCCCCTGGTGGCCTTTAGTTGCGGGCCTTTGCGTGCGGCCTCCGACAACACACAACACGTGGGAACACTCCCTTTGCAGGCGGTGTGGTGGCCCTCAACATTGATGATGTCTCACCGGCGAAAGTGGGCCACTCTCTGAAAATTAGTGAAGAACACTGGTATAGAGAGAGAGAGCCATCGCTTTCACAATAATGCACTATTCTGTCAGTGCCGGATTAAGCTAGTGCGGGCCTGTAGCGTATGTTATAAAGGGGCCCTAAATTAAAAAAAAAATACACAAATAGAAACAACACATTTTACTTGAATAGTAGAGTAGTTGTATTTTTTTCATTTGCTATACAGCCAGATAATACGACAAATCGTTAACCTTAAACACCCAGTCGTTCATAAAAGTTGAAGGCAGTATAGTACTATAGTAATAGAGCAAGTGCAGAATCACTGAACTGAAAGTTTGAACGCATTTAGCGCGGGGCCCTTAAAAGTGCGGGGCCCGTAGCATATGTAGCTACTTTTGCTACTCAGATAATCCGGCACTGTATTCTGTGCCCAATGACCCGTTGAGAAGGGAACGCGTGGTAGAGCCCTTAAGGCTGGACATAGCGCCACTCTGTGGCCACATACAGAACAGCAAATTACCGAGGCACTGGAGTGGCAAACCCGCTTAATGGACCGAGGGAATGACCTGAAGCCAGGCGGTGCGGAACTCCACTTGGATGCGGGTGCGGTAGCAATGGCGAGGTGCGGCAGTGTTACTGGGCTTGGCTGCAATGACAGTGAGTTGTAAATAACATCGACATTTAATTTGACAGTAACTAGATGTGCTTTGCTATGGACCACGTCATAGCCACCGAAGGGCAAAAGCAGCCGCCGCATTGCGACTGTGACCATCTAAGCCAGGGGTCACCAAACTACGGCCCGACGGTACTTGAATTTGGTTGATAACACGTATGGAACACGAGACGTTGTGATACAATTTAAATATTATGTTTAGAATACTAAGAGATCTTCACGCGTGCGGAGACCTCCTGACTGCTATGTTCCTTAAATTTACTATTTTAAATGTTAAATTATTGTATCTAGATTTTCTTGTTTATTGTAATGTTTGCTTATTTCGCGCCATCCCAAGTACCTCCTCGGCTCGTGGTAGCTCCGCCTACGCTCTGACGTTACCATGGTTTCCATGGCAACGTCATGGCAACATGTTACCATGGTTTCCATGGCAACACACACAAACACGCATCTTTCCCGCCCCCCCAGATTTTCCAGCTGTCAACACAGGTCCGACGCTCCAGAAATATTTATTTATTATGCGGCCCGCGCTCGTCATTCTTTCAGTTATCCGGCCCACTGTGAAAAAAGTTTGGTGACCCCTGATCTAAGCCAAAGCAGAGAGACCATCGTCCAGCAGTGGCTGGCAGCATCTCAGTCATTCAAACCGACCTCTGTTAGGCCTAAGCTGGCTGATAAACATCGACATCAAAATCACATTGTTCAACACCCCGGCCACGCAAAAGAGAATATGAACTAGAGGTGTTACCATCAGTTCTGCTCACATGTACTGGGCCACAGAGCTTCCCAAAGGGGGTTACCCGCCTTCATCCAGACACAGTCGTGAGAGTCAAACAAACTGCCACTGCAAGAGATCGAACCTTCAACATCTGGATTACCAGTAAAGTGGGCTAACCATTACGCCACAGCAAGAGTGAATACTGCCTCATCTTCTACAGTGAGGGAAAAAAAATATTTGATCCCCTGCTGATTTTGTACGTTTGCCCACTGACAAAGAAATGATCAGTCTATAATTTAAATGGTAGGTTTATTTGAACAGTGAGAGACAGAATAACAACAACAAAAAATCCAGAAAAACGCATGTCAAAAATGTTATGAATTGATTTGCATTTTAATGAGGGAAATAAGTATTTGAGCCCACTGCAAAACATGATTTAGTACTTGGTGGCAAAACCCTTATTGGCAATCACAGAAGTCAAACGTTTCTTGTAGTTGGCCACCAGGTTTGCACACATCTCAGGAGGGATTTTGTCCCACTCCTCTTTGCAGATCTTCTCCAAGTCATTAAGGTTTCGAGGCTGACGTTTGGCAACTCGAACCTTCAGCTCCCTCCACAGATTTTCTACGGGATTAAGGTCTGGAGACTGGCTAGGCCACTCCAGGACATTAATGTGCTTCTTCTTGAGCCACTCCTTTGTTGCCTTGGCCGTGTGTTTTGGGTCATTGTCATGCTGGAATACCCAACACGACCCATTTTCAATGCCCTGGCTCAGGAAAGGAGGTTCTCACTCAAGATTTGATGGTACATGGCCCCGTCTATCGTCCCTTTGATGCGGTGAAGTTGTCCTGTCCCCTTAGCAGAGAAACACCCCCAAAGCATAATTTTTCCACCTCCATGTTTGACGGTGGGGATGGTGTTCTTGGGGTCATAGGCAGCATTCCTCCTCCTCCAAACACGGCGAGTTGAGTTGATGCCAAAGAGCTCCATTTTGGTCTCATCTGACCACAACACTTTCACCCAGTTGTCCTCTGAATCATTCAGATGTCTGCAAACTTCAGACGGGCATGTATATGTGCTTTCTTGAGCAGGGGGACCTTGCGGGTGCTGCAGGATTTCAGTCCTTCACGGCGTAGTGTGTTACCAATTGCTTTCTTGGTAACTATGGTCCCAGCTGCCTTGAGATCATTGACAAGATCCTCCTGTGTAGTTCTGGGCTGATTCCTCACCGTTCTCATGATCATTGCAACTCCACGAGGTGAGATCTTGCATGGAGCCCCAGGCCGAGGGAGATTGACAGTTCCTTCCATTTGCGAATAATCGCACCAACTGTTGTCACCTTCTCACCAAGCTGCTTGGCAATGGTCTTGTCGCCCATTCCAGCCTTGTTTAGGTCTACAATCTTGTCCCTGACATCCTTGGAGAGCTCTTTGGTCTTGGCCATGGTGGAGAGTTTGGAATCTGATTGATTGATTGCTTCTGTGGACAGGTGTCTTTTATACAGGTAACAAGCTGAGATTAGGAGCTCCTAATCTCACCTCATTACCTGTATAAAAGACACCTGGGAGACAGAGATCTTTCTGATTGAGAGGGGTTAAATACTTATTTCCCTCATTAAAATGCAAATCAATTTATAACATTGTTGACACGCGTTTTTCTGGATTTTTTTGTTGTTGTTCTGTCTCTCACTGTTCAAATAAACCTACCATTAAAGTTATAGACTGATCATTTCTTTGTCAGTGGGCAAACGTACAAAATCAGCAGGGGATCAAATACTTTTTTCCCTCACTGTATTTTCAAATACATTATAACATTTCGATTTAAAGCTTTCGTGACTGCAGGGATTCATATTCTTGGTTCTTTCGGTAAAGTCACGTAGAAGGGAAATAATAAAATAATAAAAATAAACATTCTAAAATAAAATTCTCACGACGTTTCGGCCACAATGCAAGCAGCCGTCCTCAGGTGAAGAAACAGCTCTGTTTCTGCCTTTCCAACAGCTCTGTTTCTTCTAATCAGTACTTGCAAATCGACTTGTAAATAAGAACAATGAGAATTGTATTTGAAATGTCGTGTTTTTCCCCATGTGGTCGGGACTGGCTACAAATGCATCCAAATAAAACAAAACTTTCCATTTTAATAAAATGGACAAGTGTGTGAGACAGGTGCAGTGGATATTGTGAGGGACCTCTGATGTTCAATACAATTTTAACTCCATGTAAAAGAAAGGGTAGCATACGCGAACCACTACAGATGCAATGAATAATGGATGATGTCTGTAAAATATTAATGACCTAGCTTGTCGGTACATTTGTGTAATTTGCTGCTGTAGTTTACCAGCACTTGTTAAGTGCAATTATTGCCTTTAATAGGGAAATCATGAAATCCAGTTTAACCTCACCAAAGTACTAAATTTAAAATAATAACAAATAACTACCTCTGGACGAATCATACCAAATCATGTTTAACATGTGTAATGCTGCAAATTGACAAGGGTAAATTGGTAACATTGTGGTTAGTTCATTGTGCTGTGAACCCAGTGACCTGAGTTATATTCCTTGCCATGGCTAACATCAGGGGCATGTGATATCTGAAATTATCCTAGCCCCCACCCCGGTTAACATCATGCATTTCTTCTTCGTAAGGCTGATGTTCATGTAGAGCAATCATAATTTTACACTGACATGGTTGAGCCAGATAATTGCGTCAGGAGTAGTGGAGTGGTGTATCACTGTGATGCCTCCGTATTTATGAGTCGGGTATTGAGCCGTTATCTGCTCCATGGTCTGTTCTGGATGACCACAGTCGTGCACTGGAGAGTTCTTAATGTGTGCATAAATAATCTGTATGCGGTTTAGGGCTGCCCATAAGCTTCGTGGCAGATCGAAACCAGGGATCTGCATCCTGTCTTTTGTGAGGTGTGTATAACTTCTTGTGAACTCCATTGGGCTTTCCGAGCATCATCAGGGTTCAATTTGCATTTTGTTGATGGTAAGAGCATGAGTATACAAAGGGCTTGCGTGATTTCAAGCGGTGGTGAGGGACGTTTTTTTGAGATGCTGATGGGTGAGGAGATGTACGTTTTCCACGAATCTCTTGACTTCCCGGAAGATTGCGGCATCGACTATAATGCCATCAACCTGGCGACCGGACCTCAATCAATGCTCTCTCAGTCCTTAGAGCAACATCTCAAGCACCATGCGCTGACCAGAATGATGTTTGGGTTGTTTATGCATTGACCACGAAGGGCAAACAACCCTCACGAAACGGCTTGGTAAGTACATAAATACAATATCCAAGTGGCTGGAACAACTGTTGAAGAAATGGAGCTGATAGGTGATTTGGCGGTCATAAACCTTAATGGGCCATCGATACAAAAATAATCACTTCCAGTACACGTTTGCAAAAAGGTACAGAGGTATGCAACATAATAAGCGACTGCCTTGTCAGGACAACAAAATAGGATAAATGTCTTCTTCTTGGTTCTTTCGGTAAAGTCACGTAGAATGAGAATAAAACAATCAAACAAAATAAGACAATACAATTCTCACGACGTTTCTGCCACAACACAAGTAGCCTTCTTCAGGTGAAGGAACAGAACTGTCGGGACGACAGCGCTTCAATGAAACGTCGTGAGAATTTTATTGTCTTATTTTGTTTTATTGTTTTATTCTCATTCTACGTGACTTTACCGAAAGAACCAAGAAGATGAATCCTTGCAGTCACGAAAGCTTTAAATCGAAATTTAAGGATAAATGTCTTCCTTAAGTTCGTGAAAACTTTCATGATTAAGGTTAACGTGTATTATTCCGTCAAAAGCTCTTTTAATTATTTACCACTGTTACACTACTGAAACAATTTCACCATGTAGAGTCTAATGCATTCATTGTCCTGTAGAGGTGCACATTCATTGTATAGGCGCACTTAAATGCGCTTTCATGTTTGCCCCGAGGGAGAAAGTTTGACAGTGGCGTGTCTTACAAATACAAAGGTAAAATATTCCCACATGTTGGTTAACATAAGTCTACATAAGTAGAGGCGAGAGATATAAAACATTTCATGTGGATATGCATAATAGAAGTCGTATTTCATAACCCAAAACCCACCACTTTCCACTGATCTTCTTAGCCATGTCGAGGAATTGAACTCTGATCGCTCAGTTCGTAGTGCAATCTGCTAACCACCTCATCACCAATGGGATTCCCAGCTTTCCCCCTGAACTTTTTCAGGGCACTTAAAAGGTAGCCGAGGCACTGAGATGCCAGCATAATTGAGCTTTTGAGTTCAAGTACGAGTGCACCAAACATGACCACTGGTTTCTCACACTGCAATGGTTCTCGAGTGCTCCACATGTCATCGCCCCATTGAATGAAATACGTAGTTGATGAGTATACTTGTAAAGAGTGTGAAGTATGTTGTGACCCCCATGTTTATTGTGCTGTACTTGTTTAAAGACAAGGCGTTAGGTCGAGTCAAAAAATTAAACCACAAGTTGCATGACAATGCACTAAGTCAAGCTAGTTATTAAGTATTCAAATACTTAAATAAAGCTTTGTAAATAATTTTCTCTCATGTGTTAGAGTCCACTTTTTTACACAAGAAGAAACATCTATTTTTTGTAAACACTTCCACCTTTAGCTATCTGTGGATAGCGCATTTTTAACGGTGACATGTTGGCTATTTTTTCCATCCGTCAAAAATTATCAACGAAATCTGGCACGCTTTAAATACATTACTGTACAGCTTATTAAATATACACCACGTTATGTCACGCAAAATTCACATTTGTTATTTTCAAGGTCATGCCACTTTTCTCGTATTCACTTGCTTGTTCGACCGAAACACTGCACGTTCAGAGACAATCCCTCAATATCCACTGGTTGCTCAATGGAGTTGAAACATGCATCACAATCATTACACGCAGTCACGGTGCAGAGAAATAAGACGGCGAGGGGATCTTCTGAAAGCTGAACATTTGAACAGATTAGAATGCGATTTTTAGCAATTGACATTTGCTCAAACAGTAACAAATTGATCTGGTGCGATCCAAGAAAACTGAAATATTCACTTTCAGAATGAGTTACAAAATGGTGAAACTTGTCCACAATTTGCGAGCTTAAATAAATGATTGCTGACTAATATAAGTCCGGCAGTCTGCATCGTCCAATCCATATTAATATGGGGATAAGGGTTACAAGTAATTATTTTTTTACTAAAATGCTTTCATTCCAAAGCACTGTTTGGAACGATAATTGCACGAAATATTAAACATTTTCAAAAATAATGGTTACTTAATATATAGCAAGTAAAATAAGCTTAAATAGATGGTATAGGTGATGTTAGATGTTTGTTTGGACACTTGTCTGTTAAACCAGTATTGTTTCATCAATAGGCCGATGTGCGCATTTGTTTGTCTGAGGAAATATTAAAAAAAAACTCATTAAAAGCGACTCAAGCAACTGCCTTGCGATGCTCTTACGCATATTTCGAAAGCTGCTGCTCACAATCCAAAGATTAACAAAGTATTTCTGGCGAAATTAAAATCCACGTGCACATTTAACGATAACGCAGAGCCGTTGCTTTACAATAATTCAAATAATTTTACTAAAAAACAATTAGCATTCATTTATGGACTCAAGCCTTTTTTCCATTACACTCATGTGAGTGGTCCCGCATTTAGTTCAACGATTTATCGGACACGGTACAGTGTGTGCATACATACTTAAATTCTAATTTAAAGCTTTCGTGACTGCAGGGATTCATATTCTTGGTTCTTTCGGTAAAGTCACGTAGAAGGGAAACAATAAAAAAAAATTCTCACGACGTTTCGACTGCAACACAAGCAATCATCATCAGGTGTGAAAACCACCTGATGATGATGATTGCTTGTGTTGCAGTCGAAACGTCGTGATAATTTTATTGTTTTATATATTTTTATTATTATTTGATTGTTTCCCTTCCACGTGACTTTACCGAAAGAACCAACAATATACTTAAATTCGTTCATATCGTAACAGAAGTTCCGTTAATACCGCAATTAAATGAAACATTTCACGAACCATTTTTAAACTCCCGAGCGTTTCGTAGGCATTTTGAGCCTGTGCGGTTCGTATTACCGCAATCAACCCTGCCAAAATATGTACACTGCCATCAAAGCCAGGGGCATGAACGAACACGCCTGTGCTCTGCCCAGATCGTACGTCGAAGAGACGCGCGTCACTCGATCTACGACGGGCAGGGTGACCCTGCAGGGGCACAGCAGCAGCTGCATTGGAACAGGGCGCAACGCACGCGCGCTCTCTTCACATCACGACGCCGCGGTAAGGCGCAGCGGTTTTGCGTTTACGGACGCAGCTCGAATTCTCTCGCCGATTCGCATCACACACATCGTGGGTTGCGTTAAGTGCGTTGTCACATAGGAGCGTTATTTTGTTTTTTGTTTCTTTTGTGTGTGCTTGTTATCAATTAAGACTAAACGCTAGAACAACAATGGAAGCTCGAGATAGTCTGTAATCTTAACCCGCACGTGTGAGACTGTGTAAATGAACGTGCTGGTGGACTCCCTTCCATTCGACGAGGGAGAGTGGGTGTGTAGTTAAGCTGGCGAGTTTACATCTTGTTCTTTTTGTGGAGACCCTGTTTTTTTTTCAGACGACACGGAGAGGAGTCATCATGGGGCCCCACGCCACCGCCTTCCTTCTGATTCTCTTGGCAGGCCAAGTGTCCGGTAAGTGGGAAAGTTACGTCTCGTCTTTCTTCAACTTGACCGTGCATTTCGCCTTATTTGTTGACATGATATTCTTGGCCCTTATAATTTCTCCAAATTTTATCGTGTATTTTGTCGATGTCTTGGATCGTATTATTATTATTATGGACTTGGAAAATGGAAGTTTATTTTGCTTATTAAAAACAAATGAAGGGTTTTTTTTCCTCCTACCCCCCCCCCCCCCACAATGTGTCGGTCATAGCCATGTTTCACCAAGCTAATCAGTGGGTTTGTGAAGGGTGTGGTGATGCCCAGGACCGATTGAGTTACCACTCGCCACTAATGTTAGCCACGTTAATGGAATTAATTTCGGGTGACCGGGTTCGTAAAGCAACGTGTCAATTGGCAGAAACACGCTACAGTATATCCACTTTTTGAATACCTCCCATGCATATTTACAAAAGCTTTTTCTGCGAAATACTGAACAGTATTGTGTTTTTGTCTCAATATATATTTACCCGGCCGAAAATGTTCATATCCTACAGAGTTCAAAGAATCGTTCACTGCAGGAATGCATATAGATTGTTCTTGCAGACAATCGTAGGATATTTTATTGCACAAATGTGTTTAACATTTTAACTTACCATGGGAAGACCTCGAGGCAGTTCGCAGCGATAGCATTTCTCGAATGTTTATGTGCCACGCCCTAAGCACACATACCTGGCTTTAAAGTGGCGCTTTCTTGAGTTTTATAGCATTTAACACCTCGAAATACGAATATGTATTGTTTTACAATTATCCGTTTGTGATTGTATTTTGATTAACTTGCAGTATATCTCAAGAACAAACGTCATCTTCTTGGTTCTTTCGGTAAAGTCACGTAGAATGGAATAAAAATAATAAAAATAAAACATAATAGTGAGAATTTTATTTTATTATGTTTTATTTTTATTATTTTATTTCCATTCTACGTGACTTTACCGAAAGAACCAAGAAGATGAATCCCTGCAGTCGCGAAAGCTTTGAATCGAAACAAACGTCATCTTTTAACGCTTAAATATTCCTTGAAATACAGTGCAGTGGCAAAGTAACGTTAAAAGCAGTCACCTGACGTACATTTTTATATCCTGTTGGAAAAATAAGAACTGGCCCAATGAAGTGTGCTTTATTTTTTTTTGTTTACAGCAACTGACAAAAACGGTACAACCATTATGAACGTGCAAGATCTGTTTCGTAAGTGTTTTTTTACCATCTTATATCCATGTGAAAGGCATCACCATTATCATTACCATTTATTTGTTTCCGTAAAACGCATATGCAGCATGAATTTCCACGTTGACCATTCTTTAATGTAAACATTGGTGCTAATTTAAGACAGCCGTTTTCCTCTACACTCACTATAACCATCTCCACTCCTGCATATACAGGAACGTGTTGCTTATTACAGTTCCACGAACACAGTATCCCCTTTAATTCATGCATATACGCATACATTGTTAATGTCGATGATAATTCATAAGACATTGTCAATCTATCGCTTGATGAATGCCGCCCTATGCCGTGTCGGTCATGGGTGTTTGGTTGGTTGACCATACTTCACGCTGGTCGGTGCGGTGTTGGTGAAATAGGAACGAAGGACTGGTTCAATATATCCCTCGCCACTGATGCTGGCTGTTGCTGGGCATGAAACCCAGGTCATTGAGTTTATGTACCTCTGCCCAACAAAAACGGTTACCCCGTATCTTTGACCGTCTGGAACGCTCTTCCTTCCGATATTAGGAAGCCACTGGAGCTATGCACTTTTAAATCATCTAGATTGAAAACTCGTTTCTTTATAATTGCTTTTCGTGTTACGTTTCTTGTCCTTCGCCGCACTCCGATTAGCACGGTTGGCTACGTACGGTGCAAAAGAAGGTATACATACAATAGATATTACTTACAATTACAATGTTTTTTCCCTTTATAGATGCTGTTGAATCTGCTTTTGGTAAGTATTTTACCAATACAAATGAGGCCTTCATGAGCATAATTTGATACATAAGTCTTAAAAGTATTTGCTTCGTGTATGTTTTATGGACTGATGATACCTTGCATATAAAAAAAAGATTATACTTTAATTGTAATCCATTATATCTTTTTTTACAGACAAAATTGGGAACACCATCTCAAGTTTTTTCGATAGTGAGTGTGCATGTATGTGTGTAATTGTGACTGCATATATAGAATATCCTACTAAGCTTCGTTGGAGTAGCATGTCACTTTCCCACAGTATCTGTCTCTGCATTGTGCAATTGTTGCCAATCATAGTTTAACTTTTTTACTCCTCAGGGCTGACGTGTTATGCTATCACCAAGTCAAAGAGCTGCTTTGTCTCAGCATGTTTCTCCTTGCTTCATGCCTGAACCTGTTGATGCAGAGTGTGTAATTTATACACAGTACTATTGCTAAATGCCCAGAGCAGGGGTTGCTGTTCTCAAGTTGTCACCAATGGTGTTATTCTCAATCCACTTAGCTCGTGGTAATGCCCCTGGCTGCTTGGTTTGTATGACGTCAAATTGCCTTAAATACTGTGGCTTACCAGAGAGGTGCGCTGGTAAAGAACCTTATTGTGTCATGTATCAGACTTACATTATAGCACGATTAGAATTAACGACATCCATCTCCATAGGCTAAACCATTGTAGCCTGCACTCCTTCAATGGAGAAATAGCAAAACTACAAAAACTCTCTCCTCAAGCCCTTTTGTGGTGAGCAGACCTTCACAATGGCACTTAGCTCTTGAACATACTACCATAAACGCAATACTAGAATAACACAATTTCATGTTTTGTTTGTGCGGAGTGAATTATACAGTGTATTTACATATTGCATTTGTATTTAGGCAAGACATTTTCATGCAGTTTTGGGATCTCCCCAAAATACTACAAGAAAAGCTGTGCTGATTCAGAAAAAGCCTGCCTGACTGCAAACATCACCATTGGTGAGTCTTTGCTGTGTACTTACCCGGCGGATCACATTGCGACCAACACAATTGAAGTGTGCAATGCAAATACCGTGCTAGAGTTGAATCCAGGGGTATCACATTTATTTTAGATCACAAAGGAATACGACCCACTAAATAGGCTCCCATGTTTGAATTCCACTTGTGTTACCACCCATGTCACTCGTACAATTGAAATCCACAACGACTACTTTATTGAAATTGTGGGAAAGGATTACTCAACAGTGGATAAACATTTAAACTTTATGGCACAATGGTATAGTATTTATATGCAGACATACGTTAATGTGACTGGAAAAAGTGTTTTAGCATACATGGCAGAGAAGGGATTTAACGAAAGAGAGGGCAAGAGTAGGGCTTGACTTATAAAGAGAATACAGAAACTCACAACTAGGTTAATTACCTTCAGACTGCAGAGAAAGCGTCGTCAATATCAGTCAATAACCTCGTATTTTAGGTATTATTTCGCTTGCAAATAATGATGTGGGACATCTATGTTTCACAGCTGTGATGATAATACACTACATTAACAAGTACCATATATATGTGTGAGCGTACACAATGGTGGAGCCAGGATTTTCAGGTAGGGGGGACAACCCACCCAGCAAGAGAAAAATGATAGGAGTTGTTTGTAAGGACTTGTCCCTTGCTTTTTATTCGACGCGTGTGTTGCGATGGCGCAGCCATCGATGTGTGATCGGCATCGCGCTCGCTGAAGGTGAATGCCTTCAGGGATGTCGTGTACTGTATACGCAACTGCGCACAATTATGTGAGTCACTTATAAGTGCTTTGCCGTTACTTATTGCCAATTATGGACCCAGATTATTGTCCTATCATCTCATCGAGTCCCTGGCACGTAATAATATGCTACACAGTGGCAATGGGGGTCGCAAAATGCCGATTTATTACGAATAAACCCCAATTATCTGATCGAAATTAGGGATTTCGATCAGATCATTCGAGGGGGGCACGTGCCACCTAGGCCTCGGCAAGGTAAGGTAAAAGGTAAAAACAACGAGCCTACCTTTACCCTACCTTTTACCTTACCACAATACAATCACTCTACCCTACCTTTTACCCTTCAGCAGGTAAGGTAAAAGGTTAAAAGCAACGAGCCTACCTTTACCCTACCTTTTACCCTTACCCCATACAAATTACCCGATTACAGGGTAATTACTGGGGTACTACACATGAAAAAGGATTTATAACAGGTAAGTGCTAGGTAGAGCGCTTTATTCATCTAGAATACTCTTGATTATTCCAATTTTACACGCTTTCTTTTAACTCACTCTGTCTGTTGTTGTTGTCGTTGTTGTATCCTAAAATCTTGTAACTCAATTTTAACCCACTTCCCAATGTGGTTTCGACTGCAAACTTGGTATACTTATGTCATACTGATGACAATACTATATTCTATCATTAAAAATAAAAAAAATACATTTTTTAACATTATTTTGTATATGTTATGTTTCGGCTTGGGTCTAATTGTCCACTGTCAACTGACGTTGGCTGTAATTGCCCACGGCCCCTTACGTTGTGGCAAGCTTCGGGGCCACTTCCTGGAGTCGTGGAGTTCTGCCATTACTCGCACATTTCATTAAAACGTGTTTTCAAAAAAAGTTTTGTTTAAAATATTACTTATTAAATGGAGGCCACGGACTGTGCCACGGAGCTTTTAGCAGTAAACAAGACACCGCATTTACCGGGTAATACTTCACGCTACCTTTACCCTACCGGGTAATTCTTCCGAGCTACCTTTACCCTACCCTTTACCTTACCCCTTGGCATGTCGACACCTTTACCTTTACCCTTTTACCCGGTAAAAAAGGTAAATTACCTTTCCTTGCCGAGGCCTAGTGCCACCCCCCCCCCCCCCCCCCCCACTGGCTCCGCCAGTGAGCATACACGTGTGTGTGTGTGCGCGTGCAGGGCAAGCCAACATTCTGTTTAAGGACTGTGTCAAAGAGAACGTCTGCAACTCCACGGAGATTCTTGCTGCCACCATCGCCAACATTTCCTCCTTCCAGATGTACAAAGATCAGAATCTGACCGTGAAAAGTTCTGAGTGTTGCAAAACCAGCCGCTGCAACGCTGCTCCTCATAGCAGACCTGTCCTGCCCTTAGCCTTGCTATTTGCCCCTGTCTTACCACTCCTCATGCACTCTGGTTGATCCTCTGGCTAGGCATTATCATTGCCACCAGGGGCCCAAGGGGTTACATGGCCTCCTTACTTTTTCAAGTAGAGGGACCAGAATAGGATTTAGACTTGCTAACCTAATCCCGATGTTCCTTGCTCCAACTATCTCTTGCAATTCAAAATGTGTTTGAACCTGACAATGCGTGCCTCTGCATTTATCAAAAACGGAAGCTTAAAGTGTGCATGTGTGAACACTTGCATTATCAAGCAGATTTTTCGCATGAGCATGCAAATTATAAATGTGTGTGCACATTCGTGCTAAAGTGCGTGTGCACGTCTGTACTAAAACGTAAGTCGGCATAAATGTCCATGCGTGTATTAGCACGGTAGTGTGAATGTTCAAATATGCACTCTCACTTTTACCTACTGAATGGGTGTCGTATTGATAATTACAAATAAGACACGTTCCTGGGTTGAATCATGCGTATCGAGAATTCAATAAGGTTTTTTTTACACATAACAGTTGAAATTCCCACTTAGTTTCCATCCACACATTGCATATGCATCGGTTCTCAAGGGCATTTTACCAATGAATTCCGAGTGATGTCCCTCCACACAGTGGCAACACTATCAGAGGCAGTACCAAAATGCTTGCGCAGATGCCTTGCAATCTTGTGGTTAAAATTCAGATATTTCAACATTGACATATTGTAGAGGAGGGTGTTTATAAAAGTATCATCCATTATAATTGGCAGTTCGAACTGTTTGAGCTTTTGTACATAAGCTGTTTCAAAATGGAAAAGCTTTTTTGTGAACCTCGGCAGATGACACAAGCGGTCAACGCAATCACACTCCCCGGGACGATTGAGAGCACCTGGGACTCTGTCGAATGTCAATACAAGGTGTCTTGCAAACACCATACGCGAGAGATGGTGAAACTCACGTAAAAAAAAGTCTTCACAACATCAAATGTGTATGCAGTTGTGTTGAACCGAACGCAAACTACACTCTCGGCATTCTGTAATAACAGTCGATATCTTTTGATTTAAAGCTTTCGTGACTGCAGTGATTCATATTCTTGGTTCTTTCGGTAAAGTCACGTTGAAGGGAAACAATATATATTTTATTGTTTCCCTTCAACGTGACTTTACCGAAAGAACCAATAATATAGTCGATATCTTTATGGACACCACGTATTTACATTTTGTGTATATGTCCACGCTTTATCCACTACTAGCTTGGGACCTTGAATCCTGTTGCGTGTATGTTGGCAAACACTATGGAATGCAGCTTTGGTATCGTTTCGGTAACTAGTTGAGTGATTTTGGCTCAACCTTCTGTTGTATTTAGCTACACTTGACTCTGTGAAAAGAATTTCAGCAGGTTTTTCGCTGTTTATACAATTTAAACAGTGGCTAGTACGTTGGTGGTACGTGGGATATAATGGTTCTTTACTTGATAAAACATTTTTTCAATTATTTTAATGAGGTTATATACTGTGTTAGTAATTGTGGTTTGGTTACGTGATAAACAAGGAAACAGTGGGACATTTTGCTTTAGTATTAAAGGGCATTAATCTGAGGTGATTATTTGTGATTTTGTTTTCTGTAAGATAAAAGTGATTTAAATTAGATAAGAATTTGATTAATATTTTATATTGCAAACTAATTCATCGTTTGGAAACTGAGTCAGAAAATGTGAGATGCAGTACAAGTTGAAAATACATGTGGGGGAAGAAAACCCTTAATTTCCTCAGGTCTAAAACCTTAATATTCCTTTGCCAAAAATGATTTCACTATAAAAGCCATTACAGTGTGAGGTCACATTGAGTGCGTAAGCAAAGCGGCAGCAGATTAAACATAAATGTCCATGTGATGCAGCTACTTTTAAAATCCTTCATCGGTGTCAAAACTTCAAGGTTGGCCACTCATTCTATATGTGAGGTGTTTGTCACAGTTTTATTTAAATCTTAAGCTGGACTACACCGAGAATTATCCTGTGGGTTTCAGTGACCTCCCAATTACCTCTTCCCGTGGTGTGAACATAGCGTCATGGTAAAAACAAATGGTCATGCATTGGTACATAGTAGGGTTGTCAAATAACTACTGGCTGACTGGCAACAGTCTGCACCTCCGATCAGCATGATTGGCTACGTACGGTGTGAAGTCAGAAAAACGGGGTAACCAGCTTGTGTGGAATGTTAGGAATTAATTGAACAATGGTTTAACTATTATTTTGTTTTACCCACTGAGCTGTATAAACCCTTGGGCTACACCTATATTAAACCTTTAAAATAGTCTGCCTCAACAGCTTTTCCCCTCTTTTTTCCTCCTGATGACGATCGCTTGTGTTGTGATCGAAACGTCATAGTTTTTTGTTATTTTTTTGTAATTTTCTTTGAACCTATCTACGTGACTTTACCGAAAGACCCAAAGAATATGAGCAATAAAGCTCTTTTTCAGAAGCGACCTGCCCACAAATTATTGCTGAACGAAGTGGCTTATCATGTGGACATTTATAGCAGCCAAATACGCTAAGCGCATTATTCTAAATGTGGAGGGGAAAAATCAGAGGACCTGGAGAGAGACACGCAAACTCCAAATACACAGGCATCAGGGTCGGGATCGGGGTCGAACCCATGACTCCCTGAAGTTGGGAGCTTGCACGTGCGAGCGTGCAAACGACACGTTGCGTGCGACTCTCATCGGCGCCTACGGCACGGTCATGTCTCAGTTGAAGGTGCAGCCCTGCAATTTGCTCACACCACTGGTGGTGGAAAGGCATCACACGAGAGAGAGAGAGCTCTCGAGAAGAATCTCTTTAATCCTTGCACGCTCACCAGACGCGTTGGAAGAGGTGACCGTACCCACAATTTTTACCCCCCCCCCACAGACGCAACCTAACAATCTACCAGCTGTGGAGTACCTATTACATTGCTTCATCCTCCACCCCGGGAGACTGCATCAAACCACTCCCTCTAGATCGCAAGTCCAGTCCGCATGCTATAACTATTATTGTTAGACCATGGTAGCTCCCTTGGTTTCTCATAAAAAAGGTAAAAGTCAACTAGACATTTTTAGACGTGCGGTAAACCGGCAACCTGGCTTCAAAAAAGAATCACCAGGTTACCAGAAATTAAAAAACGACCATAACACGACACTTGACATCGTTTGAAAAATGCTCCATTAAGTGCTATCAATTGCATGCAATTAAAAGACCCAACGCAGAATATCCCTGGTTTTGGTCTTCCGCGAAGCTCATGGTCCACCCTAAACGGCATTCTCACAAGCCATGGCAGATGCGGATACCGGATGCACAAATTGAAAATTAAAAACTCTTCGAGTGTGCGACTGCGATCCGTACAACGTATAACGACGCGATTTGCCGATTCACGAATACGAAGAAGACATCGTGGCGATGACACATTCCGCTGCTCCTGACGCGGTTGTCTGGCTTGACCACCTGCATGTGAAATTGTCGTAGTTGCTCTGCAACCACATCAGCCGTACGACAGAAGAAGAATTTCAAGCATGGTCTCGTGTCAACCCATGTTCTCCGCATTCTGATATTCAAAGTGGGGGATGTACATGTACAGCCCTTTCGCCACGTGGGTAATGGGGGTTATTTGACATACTTTACCATGCTGATCCACATGGGTTTGTGAATGTGAGTAGCATATACATGACGGGGGGGGGGGGGGCATGGTACATTGTCATAACATTTTCTGCACCGCTCTCTGCAGACCACGATGAAGCAACCTCGGTTATATAAAGCGACCTGCGTGTGTATGGTGGTCGCCCATGCAAGCACGATCAAAGCTTAACTTTGTTTAGCTGTCGAGATCTGTGACAAGGTCGGGTGCATTCTGGGCAATTTGGTCATAGGCCAGAGTGGGAAATATTGTTGTGCTCCTGATTCATTACTGGATAAAAATACAAATAATCACAATGTAGAGGACACCATTTGTACCTACTTTATGCACATCACACAGTGGTAATTGAACTGCCTTTTTGCGCAAATACATCGCGATCCTGTTTCAGAGTTCCTCTCTGCCGCAGGTCCTCCTCTAAAACCACGTGTGTTTCTGAAAAAAAAAGACAAACCCCCCGGGTTTACCGATCTGCCTATGCAAGTATTGATCGATCTTGATTTGATGCTTTCGTGACTGCAGGAATCCATACTCTTCGGTTCTTTCGGTAAAGTCACGTGGGCATAAAAATAATAGATCACGACGTTTCGATCGCAACACAAGCAACCGTAATCAGGTGTGAAACAAACAGCAGGTGGACTGCTGACGTAGGAGTACCTGATGACGGTTGCTTGTGTTGCGATCGAAACGTCGTGATCTATTATTATTTGTATGCCCACGTGACTTTACCGAAGAGTATTGATAGATCACCTGCATTCTGCTGAGACACCACGAGGGGTCTACAAACCACAGGCATGAGAGCACTGCCGTGGGGTTCGTTCCACGGACGTGCCGTTGCATGATTCTCTCCAGCTCCACGTGTGTTGTTTTGTACGTTAGTCTGCCAGGCAAATTGGGATGTTTAGGCTAACCCACTTGGCATTCCCCCCCCCCCCACCAACTCACTGTTACCCCCTTTCAAAGATGAATACTTTATGCTACTGCAGGGCTTCATTTCAGCAGGCGCTTCCTGGGGCATGGGGGGCATGAGGACGACAGAAAATATTCCCTCCGAAATTAAGCCTTGATCTTATTGTATATATCTGAGTGTAAAGCAGTACTTTGTAAATGTTTAAATTATAGTTGCTCAATACAGGCACAAAGATCCAAAATTCCAAGATGTAAGCAACAAACAACGAGTCGAGTGATCGATAATAATTCAACTAAATCCTATATGCTGCTACTCATCATGCGGAAGCAGTGTGCAGGATTTATTAGGTTTACGTAGAAACTAACACAAAAAACAGTGCTCCCTACCTTCAGCAAAGGAGGCATTGGAACTGAATGTTAGAAGAGGCCACTTGCAAGTCTCAACAGTGTTTGGAAAAGGGCCACAGAGCCCAGTTCACCCATCCTAGATGTATGGATGGATGAGACACGAGACAACACTGCGGCCAGTGTTGGTTGCACCTTTGAAAACTTCAAATCGTCATTGTTCATGCGCATTCACAACATAACCATGTGCTATGTTCTGTTTGCTGTGAAGCTGGAAACATCTGGTGCAGTGAATGGCACGAAAACTGTGCCCGTGTCATTGGAATGTTTTTGATTTAACTTCCCTATAACCTTTTTCAATCCAAGAAAAGGATGAACTCTTATCGATTATACCTTCAATAGTGCTGTGTGTTGCTGAACGCTTGGAATTGTGGGCCTGCGCTCGAAAAAAAATGAAGTGGTAACGGAGAGTAATTTTGTAAATTGTGGGCCAAGTTTGCAGGGTATACAACATGAAAGCTCGAGTCAACATTTGAAATAATATCCATTTTTCACAATTTAAATTTGCTTCTGAAAGGCTGTACTGCAGGGGAACCGTAACTCATGTACCAACTCCTTTCCCCCTTTTATATTTAACTTGTACGTTACACTGGGGCTATGCACTTTTAAATCCATATTGAAAACTAATTTCTTTAGAACTGCTTTTGGTGTTAAGTTTGTTGTCCTTTCCCCACGTGTACCGTCACGACCTCTACGATCCGCTAATTTACATCTGCTCCATGTGCCGAGAACTAGACTCTGCATCTGGGATGACCGAGGCTCATGCATACGCTGCACCAAGACTATGGAACGCCCTGCCACCTGTGGTCAGACAGACGAGGTCACTCATCTTCTTTCTGTCTTCTCTAAAGACTCACCTGTTTCGCCCGGCCTACACTTCCGATGTATGACCAGTGGACTCTGCAATATTTATATTTCCCTACTTCGTACATGGCGCACTGAGATCCTTGGATAAATTGCGCCTTACAAATGTAAATTATTATTATGAGCACGGTTGGCTACGTTCGGTGCGTACGAAGTTCGACAAACAATACACGACCCCCTTGCAGTGATCACCTCACTGCTTTGCTCTATTGAACCTGCAGGGGGCAACCTACACTACCGCAGCTTAATCACAAAACGAGTCACGAGTCAGCCTCTGACGGTTCAATTATTGTCACGATTCAAATGGTGAGCAACGACCCTGAAAACTGATGTTTGTTATTGATAGTTACAAGATAAATTACATTGAATGTTTTATTTATTGACTTAAAGCTTTCGTGACTGCAGGAATTCATACTCTTTGGGTCTTTCGGTAAAGTCACGCAGATAAAAAAAAATCAAAAAAAAAATCACGACGTTTCGATTGCAACACAAGCAATCGTCTTCAGGTGAAAAAATATAGCAGGCGGACTGCTGAGGCAGGAAGAAATATGAAAACGATTGCTTGTGTTGCGATCGAAACGTCGTGATTTTTTTGTTATTTTTCTATCTACGTGACTTTACCGAAAGACCCAAAGAGTATAGTTTTATTTATTGTTATTACCATGCAGGGCCCGAGTTGAACAGCTTGAAATGTCAAGACCGCTATCCCCCCTACCCTTGGGAAGTTTCTAAATTCGCCTCTTCACTCTGCTGGCTCAGTGAGGGGGGACATTTGCAGAGATCAATTTCCACAGATGTTAGCCGTGGCCCCGAATCAAATTCAGGTCGCTGGGGTCATAGGGCAGTGTAAAAAAAACACTCCTTTAAGTAATTTAAGTCCATTAGAGATAAGCGATTACATGTTTAATTCCCAATCATCCACCATGGATAATTTCTGTAGGAATCACCATTGTTCTTTGAGTTATTGAGTGATCCCCATATTGAAATCTGCATATCTGCATGCCTATACAGGAGCTTATGTGTGTGAGAGTTTGTGTATATAAACTGCGTACATTACAAATGCGAGTGTGTATGTTGAACTTCTTTCGGACCGCACATGGCCAACCGTGCTAACTGGAGGTGCGGAGGAAGGACGAGTGAGTGAGCAGTCATGTGATAGTCCTGGTCGTCCAAGTCCCAGTAATCATCACATCAACTCAAACTTTACTTATATAGCACAATTCGTGCAAATAATGCAATGCAATCAATGTACACAAAAATAAGAATGATACATAAAAAAATTACACGCATTATAATGAACTAAACGTATAAAATGCATAATTAACATGTACTTAAAGCATCATAATTAAAAGCAAATCTAAAAAGGTACGTTTTAAGATTTCGTTGATTTTTCTGGTTGTCCGAGTGGTAGTCGAGGTGTTCCTGGTGGTAATTTTGGTGACCTCCCAGTGGCAGTTCTGGTGATCCAGAAT